TAATAGGCTGCTCTGGCATTACAGAGGGCCTTTCTCTATGTTTTAAGACTATCTTGCCGGATTGAACGTGATTCTACCAGTTTGGAAGAACGCTATTTCCAAATGACCGCGCTTCTTGTTTTAATTGACGGGTTTGGTGATTATACCACGGTGCTAGCCCCTGCCAAAGGGGCAATAGAATCTAGTGTTATTCGCAGTGAGCCTGCAGCACTATTAACGACCAATTTGGGAGACTAAGGTTCTTATAGGAGTCCTCTGTTATATTGAGACATGGCAATTAAATACAGATGGAATCTCCTCGGATGGGATCAGGGGCCTTAAAAACCTTAAACAGGACATTACTATTTTTTTCACTTTTTAGACCTTTTAGAAACAAAGTCTAAGTAACAAAATACAGCAGAGGGAAGACCCCACAAAGAATAATATGGCACCTTTAAACTGAATGAAAGATTATTTTCTTCAATTAGCTGTCTGTGTGAATTTTTCTTCAATAAAATATTATTATATTATATACTTACAGTAGTTCAAATGGTTAAATTTTTAGGCTTTTTGATTTGCATATTTTGTTTCAGATAGGAAAGTTATTCAGGTGTTGGTATTAGTTTGACAGCACTGCATGAACAGGGCCTCAGGTCTTACAGCATCATTAACGTGGAAGAGTCTGTAAAACACACTTTTTCTCTTCAACCTCACACAGATGTGCTGCTGTATGTGATCCTGATTCTTGTCATCATTGTCATCATCTTGGGGCTGGTGCTGACCATAATCTGCATTCAGAGGAACACCAAACCTGATTGTAAGGGGAACAGGAAAAACACAGTAACAGAAATCACAGACTTCCCGTTTCTCACTAAATACATTTAACCAGGACGCTTACATCAAGGTTTTAACCACTTATTGCAACAGTACACATTCAGTTTGACAGTGTGGCTCTGCTCATGAAATACTCTGGAAGGAATCTGAACAAGCACAACACAGACTGTCCCTGAGCTAACAAACACACCTGGCAGAGCCTGAGATACACAACATTTAATGATCATGAACACATGTTCAAGATTTAAAAATTCACTAACAAGTAAATGCTAATACACAAATCTAAACAGTATAAAATGTTGAGCTACATCTTGTTCCATAGTTGGGATTGTATTTGAAGAGGTAAGAAAAGATCCACTTAATGGATTTGATGACATTTTGTTCCATTTGGGAGATTTGGACAAAATGAGTCAGTAACATGCATCATTTTGTCCTGTATATGACAATGAATTCTCTGAGAGAGTTTTAATGACAGTGTTAATGAAAAGTTATACAGGAAACGTGCAGTAGAAATAAAGACTGATGGAGAAGGGAGGAGAGTAGAGCTGTGTGTTGTGTTTAGAGGAGGGGCTCCATCATTTAAAGAAGACAGAAGTTCCTGGTTTACCAGTGAGGAAGGAAGAGAGACAGCAGTAAACCATCAGAGCGTCAACATGAAAGTCCATCACACTTTGATCTGTTTCTTCTTCCTCTGTGAGTACATTCACTTTGTCTTTCTGTAGCTTTCTCTCGTTGTCATATGTGTTGATCATTGTCATTTTTCTTTTTTTTCCTTACTGGTCAACAGTTTCTCATGAGTTTTTTTATGAGGTCCTAAAACAATCCTCACATGTCCATATGTATTTTGAAGGGTCATTAATTTCTATAATCATCAATCATTCCTCCAGGAAGTAGAGATCGCTCAGTGGAAATGATTGAGGACAGAATTTACAGTCCTTCTGCTGTGTAAAAATTACTTTTAAAGTTTATCTAAAGTGAATATGAGAGTTAATTAAATCAAATGAGTATATATCTTTGTGTTTGCTTTCTGAGTCATGATGAAGGGACAGGG